CCTGCGGCGTGGCGCGGCGTGGCTGCGGGCGCGCGGGAGCCGGTCCGCCCTGGCGCCGCGAGGGCTGCCGAAGCCGCGCGGCGCCGCTCGTGGCCTGATCGCGCGGCGGTGGTGGACTCGGGCGCCGCGCCTCTGCAGCCCTACCTGCGCCTATGCGGCGGACAAGCCCATCGTGAGTGCGGGGGGCCGCGTCACTGTCCGCCTGTCCCCCGGGCCTCGGGTACCTGCCGCTGTCGCCTGGTATCTGCCCCGGTTCCCCGGCCTCGGGTCCTGCCCGGCGTCCCGCGGGCTTCGGGTCCCGCGGCTGTCCCGGGCTTGGGCTTCCTGCGCGGCTGTCCGGCTCGGGTCTCCTGCCGGTCTGTCCGGCCTCGTCCTGCCGGCTGTCGCTCAGGTCACCGCCCCGGCTGTCCCCCGCGGGTCTCGGGTCACCTCCGTGTCCCCGCGGCCTCGATCACTGCCGGTGCCGTGGCGACGGACGAGAGCCCTGACTGGCTGGCTGCCGGGAGCCCCGGGTCACCTCGACTCCGTTGGACCCTCTGAGGGACGCCGTTTCCACTTAACATCCTAATAATATAAATTTTTATTTGAGACAGATCTGGTTGTTGCCGGCCTAAGATGAGTGCTGTGCGTCACCTCGCTTCACACCTCCACTCCTGGCGTCAGCGATCCTCCTGCCTCAGCCCCTCCCGTAGCTGGGCTACAGGCATTGCGCCCATGCCAGGCTCATTTTCATATATTTTTATTGCCATTAATCTTTATTTTTAGTAGAACGGCTCGCTCTTGCCCGTGATTGGTCTCGAAACTAATCTCGTGATCCCTGCCTCGCCTCCCAGGGAGTAGGATACACGCTATGAGCCACCGCACCTGGCTTCAACAACGACTTTTGAGGTTTTAATGTGTGTTTCTCAAAGTTGAGTAACTCTTCATATGTGTAAGAGCCATTGTATTTCTTTTCCTGTTAACTCTTATTATGTGTTTGGTCTATTTTTTGGTTGGACTGTTGATCTCTTCTCCATTTTTTTTTCTTCTCCATTTTTAGGGGATGATTTTTATATATTAGGGAGAATAGTCTTTTGTCATATGAGTTGTAAGTTTATTTTCCCAGTTTTCTTAACGTGTTTTTTGACTTTGCTTATACTGTTCTTTGAGAAACGGTGTTTAATGTTGTTTTTTCTCTTTTTGAGACTGAGTTTGTTGCCCAGGCTAGAGTGAGTGCCGTGGCATCTGCCTCGCTCACAGCAACCTCCAACTCCTGGGCTCAAGCGATCCTCCTGCCTCAGCCTCCCGAGTAGCTGGGACTACAGGCATGCGCCACCATGCCCGGCTAATTTTTTTTCTATGTATTTTTAGTTGGCCAATTAATTTCTTTCTATTTATAGTAGAGATGGGGTCTCGCTCCTGCTCAGGCTGGTTTCGAACTCCTGACCTCGAGCAATCTGCCTGCCTCAGCCTCCCAGAGTGCTAGGATTACAGGCGTGAGCCACCGTGCCTGGCCAAGACAAGGTGTTTAAACGAACGAAGACAGTTAACTGATTTGAATTTGTGCCTTTTTGTCTTTTGTCTTTCTTCCCTTAGGGACCTGGCTGCTGTATCTGCCGTGCACCTGGAGCATCGGTCTGGCCGCTGACCCGGGCTGTTTTCCAGACTGGTACATGCTGTCCCTCTTTGGCACCGGGGCTGTCCTGATGCGGGGCGCAGGCTGCACTATCAACGACATGTGGGACCGGGAATACGATAAAAAGGTAGTTCTGTCCTGGAAAGGAAGAGAGGAGCTCCTCTCGGTTCTGCAGAATGACACGGTGGCGTCACTTTTGGATGCCACCTAAAGCAATAAGATCATTTAGTGCCCAGCACGAGAGGTTCTGGTATTAGTAGGGTATCAGGTGTTGCAAAGTGCATGGTGCAGTATTTCCTGTCTCAGCACAAGAGTGGCCACAGGGGCAAGGTGTGTCTTCCATTTCTACAAACTGAATTGAGAATTTGGAAAACAGGGTAAAAGAGTTGAAGGTTAGGAGGCCGGGCGCAGTGGCTCACGCCTATCATCCTAGCACTCTGGGAGGCCGAGGCAGGAGGATCGCTCGTGGTCAGGAGTCTGAAACCAGCCTGACCAAGACCCTATCTCTACTAAAAGTAGAAAGGAATTAATTGGCCAACTAAAAATATATAGAAAAAACAAGCCAGGCATGGTGGCGCATGCCT